TTTTTTGTTTTGTCTATTTGGTAACATGTGAGCATCTACTCTGTGTAGAGCTGTAAAATACGTATTTTTGTAGACAATAATGTTTTTTATCATACTAGTAATAGCAAATCTTTTAAAGACCTTCATTAATTTATTAATATATTTACTGGTAGAAGCACCACTTTAGTTTTAAAAGTTTAGAACAATTTATAGCGGCGTCACATGATTCATTTACTTTTTTTTTACAACAAATATGGCGGCTTCCATGGAAGACCATGTTGCCCATTCAAACGTTTAACTCTTTATATAGCTACATTTTCTGTCGGCTATAGCTTTGTCGCTGCGTCCATTTGCAATTTTGATTAGGTCCCAACACTTTTATCAAATTTCAATAAGTTAATCTAGGCAGTTCTTTTAATTTGACTATACAATAAGTTTATCTATCCTAGATCTAGATATTTTAGAATCTAACAATAAGTTTATCCCAGATCTAGATATTTTAGAATCTAACAATAAGTTTATCTATCCTAGATTTAGATAGTTTAGAATCTAACAATAAGTTTATCTATCCTAGATCTAGATATTTTAGAATCTAGATCTATCGATACCCAAAACAAAAAGTAATTAATTAGAAACAAAAACAAATTAAAAACACAATACATAATTGAGTTTCTTTATATTTGATATACATCTCTTCTTTAGCTTTACATATATTCCAATTCGAGAGTACAAGGAATTTATCTCGAGATTTGGATAAATTTGACTTAAACAAGGCGTAGCTTCTAGATCTAGCTATATCTAGATTCTAGCTCTACTTAGATTCTATACTAAACTATTTCAGTACATAATAATTGTATATAAATCTATATCTTTGTTTAGCAATGGAATTGGCTAAATTATGATATAATTAAGAATGTAAAATAATAGTTTCACGATTCTGTCACAAACTATATCTGTCTGTTGAGAACGCTATAGGGAAAACGAAAGAAAAGTAAAAACTTTCACAATCAAACGGAAAACAAAACGTCCAATGGAACTTATTGTAGAAAATATTCTAAAGCCGGAAACGTACACACAATAAACCGGGAGTGATATCCCCTAAACTTTCTGGAATGCTCTTATCTAACGCTACTGTACATGGCACATTACGATAAGGACATGATTTTTAATTCAGTTTTAATTACTTAAACTTTTAAAAATAGAATAAAATCTCGTAGAAAAATTAATAGCACACCAAGTGAACTAAAAAAATATGAGTATAATAGTGCAGAATATTATTAGTACTTTACATGCGTCTTTTAAGAAGTCGTCATAGACCGATACACTAGAGCAAAATTTCGGGCACTTCTAACTGACAGATTCGGTTCAAAGTTTGCACATGGGTCAAACCATAATTACAATGCATCCTGACATATAATTCGATTTAATTAGATGGATAGTAATATTTTATGAATTAATTAAAATTGTGTGAAAATTAGTAGGCTATCTTATCAAACTATTCCGCAAAATTATACGCGCGTTATCATTTGCGCACCTTTGAAAATGATAACGCGCGTATAATTTTGCGGAATAGTACTCTATACTACTCTATTGTAAATAAAAATAAACCGATAGTGATCTCCCCTAAACTTTCTCGAATATTCTTATATAACTACCTGATTATAACTGTACTCAGGTTACCGTGTTTACATACACACACACACATACATACACATACAGATAAAATTGCAAAACATTTTTTTTTACTCATGGAGGTGTACAGCGTCGAGATTTGCAAAAATCGTGAAAATCTCGATTTTTTTTTCTACACGATTACAATTCTTTCTCTATAGGCCCCTACTTCGTATACGAGAAAGCAAAAATATGACGTTATTGATTCTAGAGTAAGCATAGAATAAAATAGCCATTACCTTAAATCAGGGGTACTCTACAGCACATTCTAAAATATCAGTAGGATGGCGGGCACCACCTATTTTAAATCAACAAACTCCTTCCAGAGGCGTAGCGATCCTTCCCGTTACCCGGGGACAAAACTTTCGATTTGCACCCCCCCTTCTCAAACTTTCGATTTGCAACCCCCCCCCCCCCTCAAATTGAACCCACTCCCCCCTCAAACTTTCGATTTCCATCCCTTTCAACCTCTCAATAATGTTTATGAAAAAAATTCTGTCTCTGTCGAATTGTGAGAGGCGGGCACATACGAATCGTTTGGCGGGCGCCATGGCGCCCGCGGGCACGGGGTTGGGTACCCCTGCCTTAAATAAATACACAATAATAACTACGTCACCGATAATCGATAATAAGGACTCTGACTTTACCGTCTCTAAGTGGTTTCTTTCAGGTATCTCCTTGGATAACGGCGAAGCCCACCCCCTCACGGTGGAACGTCTAGGCACCTCACCCCAACCAAAAAGAATTAATATAGAAAATATTATATTATGCTTTTACTACGTGCTGATTCTAGATACAAATCCGTATTCAATATCATTGTTCGTTTCCGGTTAAATTAAAGTTGAGGTGGTGATTTTGGTTATGGTTTTGGTTTAGAGAAAAAGATAACAATATCAACCAAGCGCCCGTTGAATTTCTCCCTAAACGGGCCATTTAACTCGTCAAATAATTTTTTGCGTTATTTAACTTTATTAAAATTATTCGATGCTAAGTTAATAACCCCAATAAACGTGCACTTTAATGTGTGGGCATAGCTGGAGTTACCAAGCATGTTGTAGGGTTTCGATACACATCATGGCAATGTTAATGTCTTTTTAAAAAAATTTAGAAGTGAATAATTAAGTTGTCTATCGGGACTTGGCGGGATAAAGGGCAGATGATGTAGAGTTCACCCGTTTCATTGACTCCAGCATATTAAAGGATAGTATGGTCTGATCATTACTCAGCCGAAACAGGTGTTTTTGAAAGATAAAAACGTGTGACGTGTTTTTGTTCTGGCTTTTTGTGAAGATTTGGGAAGGGAAGGAGAAAGATAAAATTCGTAAAACAAACGTGACATAATGTATGGATGACCCCCGAAACACACGGTTATTCAAGGAAACGCTTAGTCTAGTAATGAACTAAAAATAAGAAAATAAATGATTTTCTTGAAATATATAATAATACACTACTAGTTAAATCATTATATATATATATATATATATATATATATATATATATATATATATATATATATATATATATATATATACATATATATGTAGGTCTATATGCATTTTTTTAGACAACATCTGCAGTGCGCTACATTTCGGTTTAGATTGCAGTAAAAAATGCAACTGTCGACAAGGTGAAGATTGGTGCATACCAGCAACTGGAGCATGTAGACAAGGTTGTAAATCAGGTTTCAAAGGCGAGGATTGTTACACACGTGAGCGTCAGTTCTGTATTAGCTAGTTAAGTTCAAGCTAAGTTACGCTATATATATATATATATATATATATATATATATATATATATATATATATATATATATATATATTATATCATATATAATTATATTTCATATAGGCATTTTTTTTCTTATATAAGTATTTCATATTACTTAGCTTCAAAATGCGAAGAACCACCACTGATACCACACGGGTATTGGCAATATTTCGAATACAACCACATTAATACATATCTGTTAATATGTAATACGGGATTTAAACGTACTGGAAATAGTATGATTATGTGTGATTCAAAGAATGAGTGGACTTCACATGGACATTGCAGATGTAAGTTTTGCTTTATTTAGCCACCCTCCGTAATAGCGAGGTGGGCCTATAAACCTTTCAGCGACCTCCCTTGTGTTAGCGGCGTAGCGGAGAAATCTCCTAAGTAACCAGCTAAACGGCCCCTAATTCGACTTAATAATCAAATGTAATTTGCCACCATATTATCTTGTGTTTAAATAAATGTCGGCGCCATATTCCAAGTGGTTGTTTGGTGCGCAATATTGCTCAGTCTGATATGGAGCAACCTCTCCAAAAATTGACATTCGTTTTTCGCAGAAGGCTACCTGGGTAGTATTCTCATTTATTTTAGACCAGTAAACTATATGCTTATTTTTTTTAATATAATTACTCTATGGACAAGACACACTGACAGACATACTTACATATATATATATATATATATATATATATATATATATATATATATATATATATATATATATATATATATATATATATATATATGTAAATATTCATTCATACTTTAAATCAGATATACACGTTACAATAATCATTACTTTTAATTTAGCGAGTATTTTATCACACAGATGCTATTGAGGAAAACGGATGTTTAGAAGGTTTTTATGGTCCGGATTGCCTGTACAGTAAGTTCCAGAAAACACCCTACCTTGATCATTTAAAAATAACAATTCACTCTTTTTAATACACATGATACCAATATACATTTACATGTTTTCCTATCTGAATTAGTGGTGTATGTTTTATAAGTAAAACCACACCAATTCAATATAATCCTCACAATTTTATGTGCACAATTTTCATAACAATATATATATATATATATATATATATATATATATATATATATATATATATATATATATATATATATATATATATATATATATATATATATATATATATTCCGATAAATTAAAATAGGCTAACATAACATTTTCCAAAACCAAAAATATAAAAAAAAATATATGGTTGATTTTGGGTTTTGTAAAATTAGTAAATAAATATCCAGTAGGCCTACTTGTTAAACATAGTACTTTTATCTGTAAACCTTTTTGTACTTAAGTCTCAACAGTGTTACCATTTAGGTTTATCTGTTGGTGATACCATTTTCTTTATTTTCGTCCTTATGTTTGTGCTTTTATGTTTAATATTTTCTTACGGAAATCGTGAAGTTTATTTTTTTTTAAAGTGGACTGTAAAAATAACGTTAAGTTAAAAATATATTTTTACGACGTTTATTTAATTTATTCTCTAAATTATTTTACTTATTTTCCTTCCATGAATAAACAGGAGATTTGATATCTGAAGCTCAAATGACAAATCCAATTTTAGCTCTTGACAGTGCGTGTTCTATGAGCAACACGATCAACGTTGTGTTTAAAACTGAACAACATTTTATTTCATTGGGAATTGAATTACTATACAGAGGTAGGTTTTTAATTAAATTGTACTGATTTGTTTTTCAAAAATGTGAATACTTTTTTACAGATTTATGGAACAAAAGAGGAATCGACATAGCCAAAAGCCTCACAGTACATAATAATTTCATGATTGATACACAATTTTGACATAATTCAAAATACAAAATAGCGGCAGAGTGCCAGATTTGAGTCCGAAAGTCACAGTTTTAAATCCGGGTTAAAGTCAGTAGGATGTCCCTGAGTTGATTCAGCTCTGATGGGTGCCTAACTCACGTTAGAGAAAAAAAAACGACTGGTCTTAGTAATGACCACACAACCGTTTTATACGCTGAAAACACATAAACAGATAAACACTACTTCACATGTACCAAGGAACGACAAGTTTAAAAAGGGGGTCTTTACATTTACTACAAAACAAATTCATATTTAATTTCATATTGCCTGGATAAAACATGCACTCTTATGTCTTATATTATTTTACAATGCAAATATAAACAAAAAAGCATGAGTTATGACGGCTTATGTATTCAAAGATAAAATGTAATAAATTTTACCTACTAAACTATTTTCATAATTTTTTTTCTAGTAACAGAGCTCAATACTACTCTTTTCTACACTACGCAGAAAAGTAATGTAGGTCTACTACAATGCTTACATTTCAAAACATTTTGGATAAGAAATTCAACACTTGAAATTGAATGCAAAATAACAGAATTAATTTTGGAAGTTAAAATTGTTTTTGGCTTATTTGTTCCTATTTGTCGAATTAGAGTAAACGGGGGTAGGTAAAATTTTTATAACTATAACTTACTATTCAATATACACATGTTTTAAGTTGTTTTGTTATACACATAGATATGCACACAGACAAAATGCATAACCTAATGCAAAGACTTAAATACACGTTATTACATATTTCAATTTTTATACAGGGCGAAATGTATTAAAAGAATCAAGTGTTGATATTTTCTCGAATGGTCAGATAGTAAAAAATATGGCGAGCCTACATTACAAAAAAGCGCTAAATGGAAATGCAGAAGATGGTCTCTGTTTTTCTTTAGAACGACACGCAAAATGGGAATCCACATTTCAATGGCCAAGAATTATTAAACAAGTTGTAATACATATATGTGGTAAGAAAATAAATGTAAATTAAATTAGTGAAAAGAAGTTAAACTATGAATATAGAAAATTAAGACCTGTGTTCGGTCACAATCAGTGACACTTAATCCCCGAAATGTAATCGACGAAGGGTAATTTACAAGTTCTTAAAATCAGTTAGACACTTAATCTTTTTAGCTACTTAGAATACGCTAATCCCACCTTTTTACTTTCTCGTATACGATAAATGGAGGAAGTATTGTAATTGTGCAAAAAATCGAAATCGAGATTTTCAAATCTTGACATTTTTGGTCGAAAAACAGTATTGTGAATCAAGGGAACGTCAAATAATATTAGTTTAATAGTACGGATTACTAGTACTTTAAAATTTCTTATGCGTTTTAAAGAAATGGGAAATAGCTAAAAGTACTAATTCCGTTCAAGGGAAACTACTCAAATTTGACAGAAGGCAGAAAATTAGATATTTTACTTATATGTAAAATTTCGTTTTTCTATCTTAAACAGAACTCAAGTTATAGGCTTTTGAAGTATAAGTCCCACTTCCGGTTATCGTAAATCTCTGAAAAGTTGAAATAGAGCTACCTATGCTCTATACTCTGTATAAAAAAAAGTAAAATTTACTTCTAACAAATCAATTTCTTTTAATTTTAACACGTAGGTAAAGACTCGATGACACCGCCTTTTGTCATTTATGTAACTTTATTATAAGCTTAATTAACTTTTTAAAATTCATCAATATTTTTATATAACGTGCCAATTATAATCTTTATTACACACATTTTTTTTTGCTTCCATTTGTTTTTTATAAAACGATTGCAATGAAAGTTAAATCTTTCTTACTGTTATAAGAATAAACGAGGAAGTATAGAGTCGAATAGTCTCGCTCTATTATGATTATGTGTCTTGGGATCAATTGAATAGGGAATACAAGTGACGAGTGTTACGTTGGTGGGAAATAAGTGAATCGAAACCATTTGAACAATAATGTAATAATTGACATAAGGAAACTTTTTTACAAAATCATATGACAACTCAACTCATACGGTATCATCTGCAATATATTTTAATACAAATACGCATGTAATCGCAAAGTGAATGTGAGAAGCTACCTAAACGAAATTTAGATTTTTTATACAAATTCTAAAAATATTGTACGTGAGTTTAGCTATTAAAAAAAAAATAGACCCTTACATTGCAGTGGGGTGTAGTGGCTGTCATATTTAAAACTAAAAAAAAAATTTTAACGCTAATTAAGATAAAAATAATATTTAAAAAAATCTAAACGTGTTTAGAGAAGAATTTTATATTTAAAGTAATTAATTTGTAAGAGTTACATACAGATAGCTTATTTATGTTAGTTCATTATTTTTTAAATTTTAACAACTGTAAAATGATTTGTTATCATTACATTTTACATCATAAAGAAAGGATTACGTGTTGCCTATGTTGTTAACAACGATCTTAAGAGAGCCTCGTTCTTAACAAAATAATTGTTTTTTCTATCTTCGGGATTTTGTTTTAAATGCATTTTATTGTTTTATTTAGATCACACCAGTTAGATCTAAGAAATAAGTAAATAACTACATTTAAATAAAGTTTAAGAACCTACATTTCATTCACAAAAATATTTTAAAACTTTTCAGAAACATTTACATCCGATACGGTCAATTTTAAAATTGAGTTTTTCAACACTGGCGACCAGATAAAATTTATAAAGATCGTTAACTATTTCTCTTATCGTTATGCAATCAACATTGTAAATAGTGGTGAAATAGTAAAAATTGTTCTAAGCTCAAGCGAGACGCTAGCAGTGTCAGAATTTGAAGTACTTGGTGGTAAATATGTTACATATTTTCTGTTTTCTTCATTAAGATATTTGCTTAAAAGCGTTTATTTAACTAGCTTCTTCATACTTGTTTTCGCCTTGCTATTGTCTTCATTATTTGTTAAAAGAGAAAAGTTTGGCTCGCTATAATTATGTATTGACTAACTTAACTAGAATTTAAAAGCAACCAAATGATTTTATCTTCAGTTACTTAAATTGTGGTTCATTATTTTGCATTTAAAGAAAATTATTTAATACATTTGCATTACATACAAGCTTGTTATTAAATCTTTGTATGCATTTTTCAGTACCTTTCTTTAACATGTTGCTTAAAATCGCTTAATTAAAAAAATTTCGTATTAAATGAACACAAAAATTTGCTTATAATAGCGCGGTAAAGAGTAATTTATATTGGAAATAATTTTAATAAATGATTAATCATTCAATTATAACAAGTTTGATATCCGATTGCATTGGTATCAATTCTTAATCCAAGTGCCAATCTTTAGATTAATGTGTCAGTTAAAAGTAGTTGAAATTTCACTCGCTAGTTTCGATCAGTGACAGACGCTAGACAAAAGCACTACAGGCAGACAGAAAGACAAAAAAACAAGTTGATAACTGTTTCGTCAGGTTTACCGAATTTCTTATGTAAGTATAAAATCTACTTGGTAGTTTTCTTTCAGGTTTCGGTTATTTCTAGTAAATGGATGTGTCACGTGCTCTAATTTCTTTTTTGAAAATCCAATAACTTAAAGTAAAGTTTAGTTTAAGTGGACGGAATTTCAAATATTAGTATTAGATTGTATGGTTCGGTTTCTTTTATGTTTGAATTGTAAGTGGTAACCGGGATGGTGCTTTTCTTTTGTTAGGTGGTGTTATAACAATTTGAGTACTTTTTGACTAGGCAGAAGAAATTTTGTATATAAGTATTAGATCTTATTCTTCGATTACTCTCACATTTAAGTTATCTCCCATATAAGTAAGTGTAAGTTACTATATTTTCCTTTTTTTATGATGTGGATGTAAAAGTATCGTTTCAGGTAGGTGGTAGAAATTTCAAACATAAGCATAAGACATGTTCCATGATTCCTTTAAATTTCTATGATTTTCATTTAGATCTAGCAGGAAAAGTACTTTACGCTTTTTCAGATTTCTGAACAAATTTACTCTAAAGAATTTGTTAATGTTTTATCGCTTTTTTTGGTGTTTAGTGCGCAATATTTTTTCCACGCGAATCAAATCAATTGACATTTTGTATTTGAAAACGGAAAATTAGTGCCTTAAAAGGGTAAGGCGCTCTATTTCCAATGTCTCGAATTCAAACTATACCAAAGAATATTCTTGTAAATGTTCACATCTATGAATTTTCTGAAAGAAGAAAAAACAAAACCAAAAAAATCATCGCTTTTGTCACAAATTTTACATAATCATTTATGTGACCCGATTTAATTGGTACAGCAATACCCATTTTAACGCTATCTATATGAAAATGCGAGAAAAGTATAGGGGAGATCACTTTCGCTTTATTATAAAAAAACTGTTTTGTTAAGAAACCAAAAACTTAAACAGTGTAGTTAACATAAGAAAGCTATTACAGCTAACACAATTCCATTATTTTCAGATTGTACGAAAAGAAGGTACGGTGCTGATTGTAAGGAAATGTGTAGCATAACATGTGCTGACCAGGATTGTCAGTTTAACGGTGTTTGCAAAGAATGTGTACAGAAAAGAACCGGAGATTTCTGCATGGAGTGTAAGTACATTGCAACATAGTACTTATTATTTGTTCTTGGTCGTCTCTCGGAAACAATAAAAAATAAAGTAAATTGAAAAAATAAATAAAAAGTAGATGAATAAATAAAAAAATAAAAAAAATAAAAAAGTTTTTTTTTAAATGTAAAAAATATAAAAAAATAAATAAATAAATGAATAAACGAATGAATGAATAAATGAATGAATGAATGAACGAATGAACGGATGAACGAACGAACGAACGAACGAACGAACGAACGAACGAACGAACGAACGAACGAACGAACGAACGAACGAACGAACGAACGAACGAACGAACGAACGAACGAACGAACGAACGAACGAACGAACGAACGAACGAAAAAATGAATGAATGAATGAATGAATGAATGAATGAAGGAGCCAGGGGTCGTACGCCGCGTCTATGCGGTAGTGTAATCGGGGGGTGGGGGCCCTGAAAGCGCCCCTGTACGTCTCTAACACATGGGCGGTCACCGAAGTGTGTTCTACCATATTATTTCGGTGAGTGATTAATGTACACTGATTGTTTACATGCGGTAGTGTAGGTAAACCCATGTCCTGATATTTTTTATTTAAGCGCAGGCATTGTTTACATTTAAATAACTCACTTTTAGAAAAGACGGTCACGCGTCTAAGAACATGTGATTGGTAACGCGTTGGTGAAATCCTTCTAATACATTTCGTCAAACTTTTTTCTATCCCCGCGGCAACGCGCGGGGGACGGGTACGCTAGTATATATATATATATATATATATATATATATATATATATATATATATATATATATATATATATATATATATATATATATATATATATATATATATATATATGCTGTTTTGCTTTGCTGTTGTTTTTTTCAATCTCTGCTCAAATATTTTCCTTTTCAGCCTTAGATAAAATCAGGTTTTCTGAAAACGTTTCGCTGTCTCCAATAAACTATATACCAACCAGAAGAAAGTTCGCCTTTAGCCAAGCACAGATATTGACGATAATTGTATTAATTATAATAGTCATTGTTATGTTGTATCTATTAACTTTCAAAAACGGGTAAGTTTTTAATTAACTACTATCTTTCAAACTAATCTTAATTAATTCATAATAAATCGAATTAGTTATTATGATGCTGAATAAACATTTAATTTAATTTAATTTAATTTTTTTTTTAAATCTCTAAATGTAACTAAACAAATCTCAAAGAAATTAAATGCGATGCCTATTTACAACGGCGAACAAATTGTAAAAATTTGCTGATTTCTTGCCTAAGCGTCAAATAAGAACAAATTAAGGGCAGATAACGAATATTTTAAATATCACAATCTACTGATCGTAGTTTAACGCCATTAATTTAATTGTAACTCATATAGTAACGATTGCATTAAGATCAAATGAATAAAAATTGCAGAATAAAACTAAGTTAAGGACCGCTATAACAACACTTTTTTTAATGCTCTAAAAATAAGAAAATACATTTTTTATTTGACAACAGCTTTTGTCTATTAAATGTGTAAGAGATCAAAGCGACCAAAACTTTCATTAAAGAAAGCTATTAATTGTTTTTAAAAGAAAATTAAGAATAATTAATGTCTATGCTTTTAGTTCCAGAAATGATCAGAGACAAACAAATAAAAAACGAAGCTTAAAGGAATAAATGCAATGTAAGAATATTATATTTATATTATATTTATATTAACCAGAGTGTGTTTGTGCGTGTCATTAATCTGACAATTTGAAGAAGGGTTATTACACTGCAAATGTATTGTTAAAAAAATGTTGAAAAAATGTATTGAACTACTGTGAGTAAAAAAAAATTACGTTTACGAGTTCCTTACACATTTAAAGGTGTAAGCTTTTTCTTTTTATAATATTTTTTATGTGAGCCGGACGTTTTCCCGAAAGACACTTGTCCGAGTGCCGTTTGCCCGAAGACCAATTTCCCGAATGGACACTTGCCCGAATGCGACAAACGCCCGAATGGACCATTGCCCGAATGCGACAAATACCCGAATGGAAACTTGCCTGAATGCGACAAATGCCCGAATGGACACTTTCACGAATGCGACAAATGCCCGAATGGACACTTGCCCGAATAAAACAAATGCTCGAAAGCCACTTGCCCGAAGGCCGCTTGCCCGAAAAATGTTAATATTAGATAATAAAAAAATATTACCAAATTGGAGATTCTTTATCAATTTAAGTTTGATATTTTGATAATAAACACAATTCTAAGCATTACAATAATTCTTTGTAATTTAAAAATGTAGCTTTTTTTCAAAATTGAGAAATTATTGTAAAAAACAACTCTATTCTTTTATAAATGTAAGGTGATGTTGGCGGCGATGAACACCTCGTATAACCGACCGTATTGCGGTGGTTATATAGCGCTTATGACACGGTGTAGGCGGCGCGGCGTCTCGCAACATTGAACAGAGGCGTGTTTATTTAATTTATCTTGTTATGCTAAACTTGTGGGGTGATCATTTCAAGACAGAGCGAGGTGCAGACTAGGCGGCGAATTTAAAAACTAAAGATAGTCAAATACGTTTGATCTCCATTTATAGCACCTTGTTTGGACAATGTGTTAAACTAGTTAAAGCGATTACTTAATAAAGAAAGCAAAATTTATTTTAAAAACTTGTGAAAAACGAAAATGATATTTTTTGTCTTGTTTTAAAGACGAAAGAGAAAGTATGTTTCTACAACTTTTATATAGCAAATAAAAAGGTATTTAAAATGCCTCTATGGTAATATATAATATTATTTTTTCCTTTCTTTTTTGCGTAGGTTTTGTTTATCAACATTTCAAATTTAAATTGATAACGAATGATAATTAGGTAATATATTATGTTACATTTTTTTGGGCAAACGGCCTTCAGGCAGGTGGCATTCGGGCATTTGTCGCATTTGGGCTATTGTCCATTGGGCGTTTGTCGCATTCGGGCAAGTGTCCATTCGGGCATTTGTCGCATTCGGGCAAGTGTCCATTCGGGAAATCGGATTTCTGGCAAACGGCATTCGGGCAAGTGTCATTCGGGAATTCGTCGTAGACCCATTTTTTTACACACCAAAAAGTTGAAAACGTCGAGTTTCGTAATTTCGCCAAAATAAACATACAACTGTAAAATTTATCTACATTAGTTTTTTTTTTTTAACCTGGGTACAATCGAATCCCAAGTGTCCAGTGAGTCAGTCTCAGAGGTTCGGCGCAGGTCAGATAGACATTTGATTTCCGATTGGATTTTGTCAGTGCGGGTAAAGGGTTGTCAGAAGGGTTCAGTGACTGCGCATTCAAAACTGGTGGAGTTCGGTACCTCCAATAAGGATAAAAACCAGAGACCTACCTTACGCTACCCGCAGCTAGAAAAAAGAAACCAAAATCACGCAACTATGTTAAGAATCATATTCGGTTTGTTCTTACGGCTTTCCATCATTATAGAACGCTTTTTAATTAATGTTCAATTATGACGACATTAAATTAAAACTAGAACGTAAACAATGAAAACGTCGATGAAATATACCTAAGACTAAAATCGGAGTTATTTGTGTAGTATTGAAAAACGAAAAAAATAATTACGCCTAATAGTTGTATCTAGCATTAAAGTGTAGCTACATCTACGAAAATAGAAGAACACAGATGAGTTTTGACATCGCACAGTAGAGAATAATAGAGATTATTAAACTTTCTGAAATGAATAATGCGTTTGATCAACATAAGAACATATTTAAACATTTAATAATGAAACATAATGCTATTAAAGACAAACAAAAAATATATTTAAAAAAATAAAGGAAAAAACTACATAATGTAGCATCTCTTAGAAAATACATCGCAAATTTCCTATTCGAACATGACGGAACATATGTCAGGTGAAGTAGAATTTACCTGTTTCATTACCTCATTGCATGAAGTGATTTTCGTGGTCTGTTCTCTATGCCAAACCGCCGTCACTTTCCCTAACATGAGTCAGGTACCCATTATAAATTGAAGGACTCATGGAAGCCTTACGGGCTCCTTCTAGATATCCGAATACGAGATTCAGGTTAGTAGTCGTATGCTCTATCAATATCCGCCTGTAGACCTTCGTATGTTTCCCAAAAGGTGGGATAGGGTGACATCTAAGGAATTTGCTCTGTACGTGCAGCTGTAAACTACATAAACTTGTTAACTTTTGATTACATATTATTCAATAATAAACGTCTTCACAATAATCCCATTTTGCAATTTTCAATTTTGTTTTCACTCACAGATATATTGCACTTAAAACTGCAAACCAATTTGAAAAACAAGTATTCGACGACATAATTGTGTTTTCAAACTTCTGGAATTTTACTGGATATTTTTTTTCGAAAAGCGTTTTTATTATTAAAAACAATAATTGTATTGAAAATATTCAATGAGGTTAAAAATAAAACCAGGATTGTTCATAAGTGCGATGATTGTGTTCGTGCTTTTTAATTTTAAGACAACAATTATAATCGAATCATATTTAGTTCTGTACCTTATTAGTTGATGTATACGTCTTAGCTTTAATTATTAACAATTTCAACAATTATCGGGGTGGTCGAGAAGGTAAAGTTCGTGGTTGATAAACCGAAAAGTCTCGAGTGCAAACCCTCAGGCAGATGAGACTTGTTAGCTGGGGACAGCCACTCGTCTAGGATAGACAACTCCAAAATCAAACAACTGCTGCCTTGTAGTTTGTTCTTGGTTGGATAATGGCTATGGAAGCAAATCCAAAAAGAAAAGAATGCTGAAATCAGAGTCAATAAGCTCAGTGGCGCATAACCAGTTGACATGTATACTTAATTGTGTTTGAGCGGATTCCTTCCAACAATAAAATTAAGAACGAAGAAGAATTAACTAGAAAAAATAAATATTATCTAATATTTTCTAGTGTAGACCTTTAAAATCGTTCTAAAGTAAGAATAATATTTCACTAACTATATTTCCTTATCTATACTAGTGAGATATGGAAATATAGTTAGCGAAATATTACCTGTTACATTATCTATAATAGTGAGATAGTTCTGTATAAGGCATTTAAATTCCCGCAAAATCTGCGGAGCCACACACACAAAACACACACACACATACACACGCATACGCACATAAAAACCTTTGATAATTTACAAATTGTACCTGAGTGGTTCAACAATAATAGATATTTTAATTATAAAATATTCGGATATACGTAGTTTACTTAGGGACATATATCTCATCCTATGAGAAAATTATATTCATTGCTAATATAACCATCCACCCAACGCTAAGTTGATAAATACATGAGGACTTGAAAATATGCTGCATCCAAATCTTCAATTGACATACAACTTTTGACTTCTACCAACCTCAAAAATAAACTACTAGTAGTACAATCAATAAACTGGAATATCACTTTTCGAAGTGAACTACGTCATATTGAGAGTGGAATTATTTATTATTTTAAAAGCGATAAACGCATTTAACTGCAAGCTAAGATAATAATAATAAAAAAAAAGAAACATATTAGTTTCTTTTTAAGATCTTTATAAATGTCATCAGCGGTATCCAAAACAAAGTGACACATGACTGTAAGTTGACATAATTGTATTCTACTGTTAAAATTGTAGAAAAAAACCAAAATAAAAGACTAAAATATATTTGTAGTTTACGCAGAGTGACGCATCTGTTTTGTTACTGGTTTTATACTTTTATAAAGCTAATTGAATACATTTTTGCAATACAAAACTAAAAGCGTTAAAATATATTGAGATACCGGTTTAATGAAAAAAAAAATTCTTTGGTAGTGAAAAACAAATTATATGAATTCTCTCTTGAGTGAACCGGGTTTTGCTCTTTCAAAAAAAGTGGGAGATCTGTAGAAAAATGCTCTACAAGTGCTAGAAATGCTCAGCAGGTGCCAGTAAAACTCTACATGTGTGAGAAATGCTCTACAGTTAAGAAAGATTATATACAGGTGCGAGAAATGCTCTACTGGTCTTAGGAATGCCTTACGTGTTCTGCAGGTTCGGGAATCGCTATGCATGTGTAAGAAATAGCCTACCGTTGCAGGTATCATAAATAAAAGAAAACTCTAATACTTAAGCAACACAGAAGGCAATTCAAGTAAATTTTATGTCTGAGGCAAAACATTTTGTTAAAAAATATTTTTTAAAGTTTTACTTTTTTTTATACAGAGTATAAAGCTGTAATTATTCTAAATTCTCAAAAGAAAATAACTTTTGAATATAAGTATTAGATTATATGCTCAGATGTATGTAAATTTTGAACGATTTAAAGTTACCGGAAGTTTTAATTGACACAGTATTCGAGGGGACACGAAAACTTGTAAAGTACCACTTTCACATATCAGAGGTTACATTTGAAAATAACTCGCTTTTGACATCGCATACAAACATTAACATTTTTTATCTAGCTAACTAAAACAGTACTCAAGAAGTCATGTAATGGCGATTAGAAATGTATTCTCGAAGTCGATGGTGAACGTTTTGCTAACCTTTCTTGCAAAGGAATATCTTTTGCGAAAATATTTGCGCACCAACAAAACACGCATAACTTTATTTTCAAAACAAATTTACACTGTGCTTGAACAAAACATTAAAAAGTGTATCCATTTAATCTGATCAACAATGACTGTTTTTAATAGTACCTAGATTAGATCATGTAAAAATCTATTTCATCTAATCAGCATTAACTGTTTATAGATCTAATAGTACGTGGATTAGATCAAGTATAAGAATGTTTATGTGTAAGTACACATCTGACTTACTCACGGTAGGCGGGATAAATCAGTATCGTGAGGAATGGCGGACTAGAATCCTGTCTGGCTGTGTGCTATGTCTCAACTGGGACTTTACAACTTACTTTGGCAGTGGCGTAGGCAGGCGTAGTCATAACACCCCCATAGACCCCTCGGTATATACATAAAAATATGAGGGGGGGGGTGCAAATAAAAAGTGTGAGGGGGGTGGGGGTGCAAATCGAAAGTTTGTCCCCGGGTAAAAATTGGAACCCCCCCCCCCTTGAGACGATCACGGCTACGCCACTGATCTTTGGAATACTCTGTTTAAAAATTTGGCATTTGTTATTTCATTAACAATGCCTACTTCCAAAGCCGTATTATATTTGTACGAATCGATATATATATATATATATATATATATATATATATATATATATATATATATATATATATATATATATATATATATAGCTTCAGCTATTGATGGTTTAGCTAATAATAAATGCAAGTTTATAAACAAAAAAGTATATCGCATTTTCATTACGGAGCACTTTATGTAAACTGTCTATCCTTCTTAAGTCGCAATCTTGCTTTGAACTATATGAACTATATATATATATATATAAATATCTATATGTTAATCAGAATATACGCGGTTTGGTCCAAATAATACCTTGCGGGTTGGTCTAAAAATTAACTTCCATTTGTCTGACATCTTCATTTGAAATGCTATCCAATTCCTTAGATTATTAAAATGCATAAATGTGATAAATTAATAGACGCTCACTACGTTAGCACTTATATATATATATATATATATATATATATATATATATATATATATATATATATATATATATATATAATATGTATGTGTGTTCCCATGTGCGAGTACACATTTACATGTTAATGTAAGTTTAAACGTAAAATTTATACATTTTTTTCAATCATAGATGTGTCAGGATATTTCATCACAAAAATGACGAAGTTTGTTTTGATTATACTACTTTCAATATACATTGAGCCAGCAAAGTCAGGTAAATCAGTGGCGTCGCTTGGTCGGGTGTCATACTGGAGGCACCTCCTGGTGTCAAATCTTCCCCCACCCCAAAACAATTATATAAATAAATAAATAAATAAATATATATATATATATATATATATATATATATATATATATATATATATATATATATATATATATATATATATATATATATATATACACACATATATATATATATATATATATATACACATATATATATATATATATATATATATATATATATATATATATATATATATATATAAATATATATATATATATATATATATATATATATATATATATATATATATATATATATATATATATATATATATATATGTGTATGTATATTTGTTTATTAGGGTCTACATAGGCCTATATATTGGTGTCAGCCCTCTAATTATGACTACCGTTGTTAATTTATGCGCACAATATATCAATAAACTTATTAGTTTCATTTGGGAAATGGATCGTTTTCAATGTAAATTATTAGATTTTGGTGTCACCCCTACCACGGTCGTTGATTGACTTGCTAGTTATTCAAAATATTTAGCAAAACCTTTTTTCCACTTTACATTTGCAGTTAGTGTCACCCCTCCCCCATTGGTGATAGTTTTAACATGTGCACAGTTAGTAGTAAAGATGCCTATCTAAAGTCAGTTATTAATACAGGTTAATTAACTCTAATTAATGATTAATTGAGCCCCTCTAAATGGTGTCACCAGGTGCGGTCCGCACCCCGCCCCCGCCTCGCGACGCCTCTAAGGTAAATCTTTTTCCCTTACAATATGTTCGATACGTTTTGATTTATAATATCCTTACATGAACATGTTTTTTCAATACACATTTGCGCGTATCACCCTATAATTAATTTGAAAAATAATGTAATTAAATGTAAGCCATGCGTTTAAAAATTACAACAATTAAAACACGATTTAATTGATTAGATAAATTGGAGCTGAATTAAAAAAATGTTGGGCAAAAGCGACACCTCTGTATCTGTCTCTGTCTCTGTCTCTCTCTCTCTCTCTCTCTCTCTCTCTATATATATATATATATATATATATATATATATATATATATATATATATATATATATTTATATATATATATATATATATATATATATATATATATATATATATATATATATATATATATATATATATATCTATATATATATGCATCGGATACTGTGCACTGGATACAAGTAACTACAGGATAATCAAAAAGAAAATCTATTCGTGTAGCCTGCAAAACTGGATGGTTTGGAATAACTTGCCAATACCAATGTCACTGTGAACAGGACAAGTGCGACATCAACGGGGGATGTTATGACGAAACTCAATGTTCAAAGGGCTGGTTTGGTCCAAGTTGCCAATATGGTAAGACAACTGTTGTTGATACTGTACAAGCAATTTGTATTGGAAATTGTGTTCATTGTGTTAGACATATATGTGTGATGCTGACATTTTTTGTCCTTTCCGTGTATTTGGTTACTTTATTATGACATTTGTATTTGATGTTTTAAATTAAGAGTTTTCTTTTGATATTGAAACGAATCATAACATTATACAGTTTAATGTTTAATTACAAAACAAGAGTTGTACACTCAAAATCTTCACAGTCGATTTAGTTTTACAAGCGGACAAGATGGAGCCGGACTATTTTCATCTTAAAGATAATGATGAAAGCACGTGCGAATCCACAGAAGCATTTAGGTTGTCATGGTTATTAAATCACGATTTAACCTGGATTAGAATTGTTTACATGAATGAAGGTAAATATGAATAAAAAATAAATTACCGTAAAATATTTCTTTATTTCAAAAAACATGTGATGGAATTACAAATTTATTTACTTTTCAACTGATGCTAATATCACACTGAAGTTTTACTATGGCCAAAAATCAGTATCCTATACATCAAATATGTGTTTATTTCTAAAACCTGTAATTGAAATCTAAATTTATTTACTTTTCAACTGATGCTAATATCACACTGAAGTTTTACTATGGCTAAAAATCCGTAACCTATGCATCAAATATTTGTTTATTTCTAAAACCTGTAATTGAAATCTAAATTTATTTACTTTTCAGCTGATGCTAATATCACACTGAAGTTTTACTATGACCAAAAATCAGTATCCTATACATCAAATATTTGTTTATTTCTAAACCTGTAATTGAAATCTAAATTTATTTACCTTTCAGCTGATGCTAATATCACACTGAAGTTTTACTATGGCCAAAAATCCGTATCCTATACGTCAATGTTTTATAACTTTTATGATAGTTTTATTGACATCTACCTGAGGATGGAAAATTTAACAAACAGCGTTCAATTTCTCTTTGGAAAAAGAACCAGCATTTGCGATGTGCGTATCAGTGGAGGTGAGATTTAACAACGTCATAAAAATAGTAAATGAAATATATATTGCATTGAACATATATAGATTATATTGATAATTACCTAAGTCAGATTTATATAATTACATCTCTATGATGTCCTGGTGTTAAGTGGCGGTAACGCCTAGACAAAGTAATATAAACTAACTGTTTAAGAAAATTATACTAATATTTTATTAAATATTAAATTATCCATCACAATGGGCGTCAAAAGATGTAATCAATGTAAATTTTCTTCCAAAAAATAATAACTTGACTACTGCACCGCATTTTAAACCAAGTTAAAATAAAATTGTTCAAATTAAGTTTTGAGCACTTTGCATCACATTTATGCCTATATTGTTAGTATTTATTATAAGCGAATGATCACCACTGCAATAAACAAATTTGTTTGTATATTAACAGATAGTTTATCGTTTTCAGTCAAAGTTATTGACCTTTTTCGTGGTCTTACTGTCATTGTCCCATAGGCTCTAGTTCTAACATTTGACAATGAATACACATTTTTTTTTGCTATTTGAAAAAAAAATGCATTACGATTTTTTACATGTACACATTTGAAGATCGATTTTGATTTTTTAAGATATAACACAGCACTGTCTTTCTTTCTGAGGTCGCAACATGGCTTTGAAGCAAACCACATGGCAAATAGACACATCCACTATTGGTGAATACAACAGTAACAATGCTGTTGACGGAAATCGAGATCCGAATGTACAATCCGGATCTTGTAGTCGCACATTAACTACAAAAGGCCATGTGTTTTGGAATCTTGTATTTAATTCTGCAGTTGACGTCTACAGGTTTCTTATCGTGAACGCAGGTATGATGGGGCTTAAAACAATTGTAAGTAAAATTTTTTAATGCACGTTGTATTTCTTCTTCTTCGTCGTCGTTCTAAAATTTTAGTGAGGAAGAGGAATCCCATCTAGCACAATACATGTCAACTGTTTATTCGCCATTGACTCCGATTTGAGCCTGCTTTTCTTTTTGGATTTGCTTCCATATCCTTTGTGCAACAAAGAACAAACTACAAGACAGTAGTTGTTTGATTTTCGGAGTTGTCTCTCCTAGAAGAGTGGTTGTCCCCAGCTAACGAGCCTCATCTACCCGTGGGTTCGAATAAGAGACTTTTGGTTTAGCAACCATGAGCTTTACCAACTCGACCACGCTGAACCACTACGATTTATTTTAATCAGACCACGACAAAAAAAACATTAAGAAGACAACACATATGCTCCGATTAAAATAACATGTGTGAATGTAAAACGTATTTTGTGTTAAGGTTTACATGCTTGTGTTATTTCTACCGTAAATTATAATTTACGGTAGAAATAAAAATAAAAGAAATAAATGTATCAAAAGATAAATGATGTGCTATTAATAATTTGCTTCAGCAACACGAAGAGAACAACTCAGCAACTTCTGTTTAACGGTTTATGATAAAAAAACACGCAAGGTTAACATCCGGGATGAGAGTTCACAACGTGGAGAGTTTGCTTACAACGTAACAGTACCTACAACACGGGCCACTAAAGTTACCATCTCTATAAATAACAATTACCAATTAGTTCTTTGTGAGGTTGAAATATTTGGAGGTAGGATTTTGTTTGGATTATAAAACACAGAAATGAAATACTAATGATATTGAGCTTTTCGAAAATAAACGAGCAACTCTTAATATAATTAGGTTCTACACAATCACAAGACTTTTATCTATTAACATCACTTTTTAAATATGGAAATACGAATAATAGATAAGAAAATTATCTGTCTTCGATTTTCTAAACACTTCTGTAAAACTTCCAACACAATTTGCCAGCCATGGTATATCGCCGAGCATTCTCACTTACATAAAGCGGGAGTGATCTCCCTTAACTTTCTGGAATATTCTTTTATGACACTAAGAGGGATGGCAACTAGGGATACAGGCATCACGTTTAATCAATTTTTAATTATTTAAATTTTTAGAAACAGAATAGAATCTCCATGAAGAAAAAAATGTGAGCACCAAGTGAAGAGCAGACAATGTGTGTATAATAATGCGAAATATTAGTAATTTATGAATTTAATTTTTGAGAAATCGAAAATAGCATTAAGTACTACTTCTGGTAACGGAAATTACTCAAACTTTGGTAGTAGGCAGAGATACAGATCTTTTACTTATACGGGAAATTTCATCTATCTAAAAGAGTACTCAAATTATAAACTTTTGAAAAACCAACAGTAGAACTAGTACAACTTCCTGTAACCGGAAATCGCTTACAAGTTGATACAGAACTACAAATTTAATATAATACTTATATAAGAAATGTTATCATTTTAACTGTAACGGTAATCAAGTTATCGTGTTCACAGACACGCATCCACACAGACACACACATACACGCAAATCTATGTTTTTCAGACTCAGTGAGGTGTAAAAAAAAATTCGCTGATTACAAAACTTCCTCTATACTTCGTATACAAGAAAGTAAAAAGGAGTGAGCTTTCTAAACTTTCTCATTTATTTTTGTATACAATACAGTTTTGGTATTGGACATCTTTATAGTAGCCTAACCGGTGGGTTATTTTTACCGTTAACCTAATCTAATGCCAGTAGTACGTCCCTGAGTCCACCCAGCTCAGCTGGGTATCTAACTCATATATCGGAAAATAAAGGCGGCTGGGCAAATTGCTGACCACACCTTCCCTTCATACGCCAAGGTCAAGAAACATTAATTCTACTGCATCTGATCAATGGATCACTAGGTCTAAAGAGGATTCGTTATCCTCTAAACACATACACACACAAACACACATACAAACACGCGTGCCCAAACATGACCAATATTAATACAATAAAATACGGATTTAAAACATAAATCAGAGTGAATCGCGTCGGACTCTTGTTATATTTTTTTAAAACGAATCTGTTTTGCAATAAATGCAAATTATATCAGTAGTTGTTTTTTTATATTAATATTCTAGAGAGCAAAAGTTTAGTGATTTCTTTTTCCAGTATATTTAACCGTCGAAGACTTTAAGTTGAAACTATTTGCATTTGAATGAACTTTCCTCATTCATTAAATTATTCCTTCAACTTTTAAATAGCACTGTTTACCATATTAAAAGTAATTTCTAGAGTGCATGAAAAATGGGCACAACGCACTCAGTAACGGCCTACAACTACGACTTCGGCTACGCTACGACTACGACTAGGCCTGTAATCATGACTATGGTCATACATGTGTCTACTGCTGACGCTTAATATATTTAAATTAATAAATCATCACGATGTAAAATTTTATCTTTACCTCAGACAAAGCTTGCCCAAATAATTATTTTGGGTTAGATTGCGAGAGGCCATGTAATTGTGGACAGGATGAAGATTGGTGCATGTCTGCTACTGGAGCTTGTAGTAAAGGCTGTCGCACAGGATATAAAGGCGTGGACTGCAACGAAGGTTAGCCTGAATACATTAAGATAGGATTAAATACTGTTGGGTAGGAGACGTGAGGGGTAGTTAAAGTAAGGTACAGTCAGGTAGTGTGAGGTAGTGTAAGTTTGTTTGAGATAAGGTGAGGTAATGTGAGATGAGGTGAGGTGAGGTAAGGTGAAGAAAGTTGAGGAATGGGAGGTAAGCAGTGTTAGGTCAGAAAATATGAGCAACGTTGAGGTAAGTACAGAAAGGTAAGGTGAAATATATATATATATATATATATATATATATATATATATATATATATATATATATATATATATAGAGTAAAGGAGAGCGTTGAGAGCCGTGTGGTATATTAAGCCCCAAATATATATATATATATATATATATATATATATATATATATATATATATATATATATATATATATATATATATATATATATACATATATATACATATATATATATATATATATATATATATATATATATATATATATATATATATATATCACGTTTCTCTAGATTCAGGCTGTTTAACTAAACTTTTCTAATTTTTTTAGTCGATATCTGGACAAAACATTAAGTCACATGTTCTTTAAAGAAATGTATTCAATGTCTCTTAGATATGATTTATACTATAGACATGGGGTATGTCACTTTGGTTAAGAACCATTTGTCGGAAGGGCGGTAGAAATTCAATGTTCTAACTCTTGGGTTGATGACGCGTTTAAATTAGCTTTTATGGAATACGGGAATACAAACAAAAATACAATATTATATGCCAATTAGTAATTATTTCATATATGTATGAACATTACTACCACACATCTGTTTTGAAATGAACTGAAGCATTAACAATTTAACCAAATAGTACAGTAATAATTTGATTTTACACTCACAATAGTTAAATTAGCAAAAATAAATAAAAAAATAAAAAATAAAAATAGAACAACGTATTTCACAATAATTTAGAATTTCTGTTGGTGCATTAATGGCAGAAGTACACGTAAAGATACTTTATATCTTGGAACTCTTGTTTATCAATGTTGGTTACTTATTGCTTATTGATAATTTACTATTGTGCTTTATTTGCGCGTTAATCCAACAGGCATCACACGGCATTTCTGGAACTTAACATATCTCTGAGTCATAGACTTAATATTCGTATTAAGAAAGCTCACTGTAAGCACACAGACACACATACACAAACATATATATATATATATATATATATATATATATATATATATATATATATATATATATATATATATATATACTTATTAATACATAGTATATATAGAGATGATAATATACGAATATATATATACATATATATATATATATATATATATATATATATATATATATATATATATATATATATATATATAATTTACCTAAAAAGCATGTTCTTTACCCAGGAATAAAATGTAAAAACCCGCAGCCGATACCGAATGGTGAGTGGAAACGTTGCGATTTCAACTACAAAGGTGAATGTGTGCTGACGTGTAAACCGGGATACAGGCATGTAGGAAACACAAGCATTAGCTGTGATGAAAATAAGAAATGGACAATACCAGGAAAATGCCTAAGTTAGTTTGGATTCGTTGGTACACACACGTACAAAAGCATGACATTTTACAATGGATAAATGAACGAACAAATGAACTAATAGAAAATTATTGAACAAACGCACTTGACGGACATATTCATAGACTGACAGTCAACAAATAAAGCAAGCAAACAAACAAACAAAATAAACCACACAAACATAAATAAAAAAAAAATAGTGTAAAGATAAAGTAACTGGTGTAAGTAAGAGTAAGAGTGTGGATAAGAGTAAGCGATCACGAGCTAAATAATGAGACGGTGAGAGATAGGTATAATATTAATTTTAAATGAATTATATTACGCAAGAAGGGAAGGGGGGCACAGAGTAATTTGCAGATGATAATTTAAGTGGAAAGATTGTTCCGGGGGGTAAGATATGCGGGATGGTCGTAACTTATGTAAAATTTCTACTAAATTAAATTTTGAATTTGAATTATGAGCGTTTTGATGAATAGTTAATACTTTTAAAATTTTCGAATATCGGGTATATACAAAACATTTAAACATTACTAATGGAGTTTCCTTCTTGGTAAGCTGAAACTACTTTTAGTTAAAGTGAAAAACTAATTTAGTTGTAAAAAAAATACAATACATATACATATATATTTTTTCCAGAAATAAATATGTTTACTGAGGCCTGGTTTGGTCCTAACCGTCAGTTCAGTAAGTATTACAAAGAGTGCTGAAAACTGTATTCATTAGAAATAGTCACCAATTATACCGATTAGTACTAAATGGTGTTTGCACATATATGCTTTATATAAATGTTACCGAAAATTTGTCAAAACATGTTTATTATACGCTACATCAGTAGTAAAATATACCAAGAGGCAAATATTTAAATATAAAAATATTCAAACTGTCATCTATGAACCTTTGAATGGAATATATATATATATATATATATATATATATATATATATATATATATATATATATATATATATATATATTTATTTATTTATTTATTTATTTATATATATATATATACATATATATATATATATGGTGACAGGAAAATTGATCTCAGGACAAATGATCTTAGACAAAATATCTAAAGGACAAATGATCTCACGGACAAAAGATACAAGGGCAAAATATATCAGAACAAATGATGTCAGACACAATATCTCAGACAACATATCTCACTGCAAAATTTTAATATAAATATATATTTATATAAATATATATATATACACACATTTATATTTATATATATATATATATATATATATATATATATATATATATATATATATATATATATATATATATATATATATTAGTAGATTTGAACTTTTTTTAATTGACTGTCAATATGGTTTTGTTTACTTTTTCACGCATAATAATTGTGAATAAAATGAATTTGTTAAACTTAAGAAAGCATCAAAAGATTTATTAAACTTAATGTTTGTAATAGTATTAGATTTGAGAAAGTATACATTAAAAAAACTTACTCCTGTAGCCTGAAAGGTATAAAAATTGATAATGTATAAAACAAAAATGTAACGATACTTATCAACATTAATACTAAAAACACGCGAAATAGTTTTCCAAAATGTGAAAGGGTAAAAATATATATATATATATATATATATATATATATATATATATATATATATATATATATACATGTGTATTTGTTATTTATTACAGGAGATTTGATGTTGCAAGCGAACTATACACATCCAGATGTATTGCTTAAAAATCGTGTATGTTTTTTCAACAATTCCATCTTAGTAGCCTTTGTAACAGAAATCTATCAATTTTCAGTAACGATTATATTAATGTATACAGGTGGGTTTTCTTTATTAATTGTATTAACTATTGTTTATCTCGTATGTTAATAGTAGACAACTGATAATACAAAAGAAAAACACATTGAAGTGATGTCCCTCAAAGTTTCTCGTAGATCTTTCTAAAGCTGTAAGGGAAATAACAATTTTAGCTTAACTAGATTGTAGGAATGTTATATATAACTTTTTTAAAATTAATAATGTTTAAACATAATAGAATCAAGCATTAAAAAGAGCATCAGAATAAATCAAATAAACGGAAAGACTGTGTGACTAATTGAGTGTAAATGTAGCTCTTAATTTTAAAAATCCTAAATTATTTGTAAAAGAATGTTAATTAAACATCTAATCAAGTCATGTTTTATGTCACAAAGCAATTAAATGAGTCTTGACGAACATTGAAAGTGAAAAAAAAACAGTCCGGTAGAAACCGGAATTCATTTAAGTTCTACTTCCAGTCAACGTAGAATACTTACAATAACACTATCAAGAGAATATTAATTTCTTATCTCTATTTAACTGTACTTATTATTCCTGTTTTTAGACATTGAAAATCTAATACAACTCCGGATAATAGAAATTATTTAAAATTTTGAAGTTATAATGTATAATTTCTAAAATTTGTTCATCAAATTTCGTCTACTTAATCGAAATTCTTTTCAAGTTATTCTGTTCTCTAGAAAATAATTCAAAATTCATTTTCTCGGTATCAAAAATTGTAGAAAATTTGAAAATAAATCTTGTTCATAAAATCTAACTATTCTAATACTTTTATTTGAAGTTTTCTTTTTTACATTGCTTTGATGGTACTTAAGTTATAAGCTTTTGAGAAATCGGAAGTGTAGTACGTATCTTTTCCAGTTACCGGAAATCGCTCAAAACTTGATAGATAACTAAAAATTTGTTATAATACAGTATATGTGAGGGTAGGTCAACATAACTAATCCGGTACCAATTGTATCGTGTTAACACTGGAACAGGTTGGCAAAAACTAAAATTTTCCGTCTCCGGAGGTTTAAAATACACCAAAATCCTGCTGAAAAATTAAACGTTTACGCCGGTTAGCACCTCTCGAATTTGGATGCATTGTAATCGTGCAAATTTTTTTATAGAGATTATGAAATATTTTGTCGATTTACTGCTTTCTTGAAAGGATAATCACAGTTTTGCTATTGTTTCATTGTCTGTCTTTCTGTTAGCACGATATCTTAACTACCGTATCAGTTTGATTTGCGAAAGTCCATATATATATATATATATATATATATATATATATATATATATATATATATATATATGTATATATATATATATATATATAGATTTCGTAGTTCTGTATATTATTTATACGATTTGAATAAGCCGGAAATCGCACTTACTCAACTTCCGGTTTCTCAATATAGCGTAAGAATAGCACCTTTTGAGCAGCGTTGATGAAATTTCCCATTTTAAGCTCTACATTGTATTTTCCGGTAACGGGAAGTAATACTTTGCTCTACTTCCGTGTGAACAATAATATACCATGAGTACTGTTTAATTAAGGTAAACGAAATTTCATATAGAAGTATCATATCATACATTTTAAATTTTTTTAGCGACCTCAGGTAAGCGGAAGTGGTACTTTATTTTCGGTTTCTAAAATAACGATAATGTAAGTAGAGCCTATCGTTTTATGTAGGTGAACACAGTTGGATACGTAGATGTAAGATGTTATTTTTCTTAATGCTTTCAAATTTTTAATTAATTTTCGGTGTGCTGAACTAAATAGTACTTAATGTGTTTTATATTTCTCAAATAAATATCACTTCTTTTTAACCAATTTTAAAAAACTTTTCACGTAGGTAAAGATTTGATGAAAACGAACTGTGACATAAAATGATACTTGATTAAATGTTTAAGTATTAAAAAAATATTTCTTTTATAAAGTACTAAAAATCCGTTCAATTTTAAGAACATGCGAGAAAGTTTATGGGAGATCACATCAACTTTATATTTGTCTTATTATGTTGTCTACTATTCTAATGTCTAGCATTGTTTCAATGCTTGCACTATTGCTTTAGCTAGACATTACACTGTCCCGTCTTACTGGTCGTCATACACCTGGTATCCTGTCAGGCTTTATCTTCCCCCTTAATAGTTAGCGTGGTTCCATGACAAATATTTTGTCTGAGATCAATTGTCCATGGTATCATTTGTCCTGATATATTTTGTCTTGGTATCTTTTGTCCGTGAGATCATTTGTCCTTGAGATCATTTGTCCATGATATATTTTGTCTGAAATATTGTGTCTGAAATTTTTGTCCTTGAGATCATTTGTCCTGAGATCATTTGTCCTGAGATTATTTGTCCGTGAGATATTTTGTCCATGAGATTTTTTGTCTGAGATATTTTGTCTGAGATCATTTGTCCTTAAGATCATTTGTCCTGTCACCGTTAGTGCAGACAGCAGGCGCGTTTGCTCGGCGACATGTTACATTACAACCAGCTTGTTTTGATTGTGATTTATCATAATTTGCTTTTCTCTATAGCGTTATTCGGATTGAGCTAACGTACTCAGTTGCAAAGCTGATATGCGAAGTGTTATGAAGTAACGTCTTATGCTGTATAATGTTAGGTGTGTTGTATTAGATTACTATGTTGAATTGTGCTATGTTGTAAAGTATTGTGTTGTGCTGTCTTTAAGATGCGATCATGGGATGGTAGACAGCAGTGGCGTCGCTCAATCGAGTGTCACCCGGTGACCACTTCATGGTGTCATCTCCCCCCAAGAAACAAAGTATATGTATATATATATATATATATATATATATATATATATATATATATATATATATATATATATATATATATATATACATGTATGGATGCTTATTAGCTTTAATCACTGCAGAAGTATTAGTAACGATATTTATAGTATGGTAATATTATAGTTAGATGAAGCATTGTTTTCTCTATAGTTGGCACGTTTACGTCATTGTGTTACATCCATTCCCTTGCTATAATTTGTACAAATATCGATTTGTACTTAAAAGACTATTTAACTTTAATTGATTATTAATTGAACTGGCTAGAGGGCATTTTTCTTCTGAACATTTTGCAATTTTTTGCTTTGGTGTCACCCCCTAAATGTTATCACCCGGTTCAGCCCGCACTCACCGCCCCGCCCTCGCTACGCCTCTGGTTGAAATAATTTTTTGTTCTGTTTTGTAACAAAAAAAGTCCTATGGTTTAGTTATGAAATAATTGCCTTTTTTTTAAACGTTCAGGGTTTTATAAGACATATAGCACAGTTTGTTTTTTTTCTGCAAGGAACCATCATTTGTTCTATTTCAGTACCTGCCCTTGAAGCTACGTTTTATTACACTACATTGAGCGGAGCCGAACAAAAATGTCTACATCCTAAAACATACTGGAGTAGTGAAATCAAATTTGTAATCGAATGTCGTACCAACGAATTTATTATAGAGTTCAGAATTATGCTGAGTAAATTTGCACCAATTTGTCGAGTTAGAGTAAACGGTGGTAAGTATATTTTTTAATATACAATTTACTGACCGATTCATAAAGTGTAGAATAAATATTACGCACTTGCGTTTAACAATAAACTATTATTAAAATAAGCAATTGTTAATGTATACACAGGGCGAAACGTTTTGAAAGAATCAAGAGTAAGTTTGTTCTCAAAAGGCAAGCAATTAACGACTGATGAATATAAATTAGCATTGGATGGAAATATAAATGACTATAACTCTTTCTATATTGAACAACAAACCACCATGCAATTTACATTTCTTTGGCCAAGAATTATGAAACAATTATTGTTATATACCTGTGGTAAGAAATTAGATTATTATTAGATATATTACATAACCGACCAAATAGGCCGACACATTAACTTTATGATTAACTATAGGTTTAAATCCATTAACGGAATTAGAAACAGTTCCGTTTCCAAACATTTATATATATATATATATAAATAAATAAATACACACACACACACATATATATATATATATATATATATATATATATATATATATATATATATATATATATATATATATATATATATATATATATATATATATATATATACATATACGTATATATATATATATATATATATATATATATATATATATATATATATATATATATATATATATATATATATATATATATATATACATATCATGTAGTTCCATGACAAATGATCTCAGGACAATTGATCTCAAACAAAATATCCCAGACAAAATATCTCACGGACAAATTGACTTAGGACAAACGATCTCACTGACAAATTATCTCGTGGACAATATCTATCAAAATCTATCCTTTTTTTTAAATATTTATCAAAGTAAATCAGCAATTTAAAAAAAAAAACTTTAAAAAAAAAATTAAAAATATTTTTTGTTATAATGCTAAATAATCATGATATTGTTTTCTAATATTCTTGACAGTGAACAGATTGCTTATTGAAATCCTTATTTATGTCCTGGTTGAAACGTACATTTAAAATTAAACAAAACAGCTAAAGCTACATCTTTTTTTAAAAATTACAAATTAAGAATTAATAACAAATTAACACGTTTTTGTTTATTCCATCAAGGTATATAAAATAGCAATTTACATTTGATATTATTTATATGTTTTTGCTAGCTTTTAATTACAAATGAATTATGTTTTTTCAGAAAATTGCACAGAGTTGAATACATTTCAAGTTGAATTTTACAACTTTGAAAATGTAATAATATTTACTAAAGTTATTGATAGTTTCTCCCCTCTACACACAATCAACATTGATTACAATGGATATATTTCCAAAATTGTTTTAAATTCAGCAACAGACCTATTTTTATTAGAAATTCAAGCATTTGGAGGTAATGTTTATTTTAAAAGAATCCAGTTATTCTAACTAAGTATTTTTTTAATACCTAAGGGATTATTTTTTGATAACTGAATACGTATATTAAATGAAAAGGCGTGGTAGTGTAAAAGAGAACTAAACTACTAACCAAAAACTTCTGAACCTGGCATAAAATATGTGCAACTTCTTGATTGAAATGATGAGTACCTGATTCACGTTAGAGAAAGTAAAGGCATCTGAGTATAGATATTAAACCAGAATACCCTTATACATGAACTCTTTATTGAACCAAATGTTTGAAAAGGTATTTTTTCAACATAGTTCACAGTTACTATTTCAAACATAAAACAATTTTAAAAAATAAAAAAAACTAGAAAAAAAAAAAAAAAAAACTACATTATTTTGCAATATGAGTTGGTTGCATTGATTAAAAAGGAAATTTGTATTAGTTTTCTACATATATTTTTAAATTCTGAGAAATTTATAAAATACTTAAAATGTGTATATAATACTATAGGTATCACTTAAAAGAAAGTATCGTAAATCGAAGTTACTAGTAGCTGCAACAGGTCATAAACTTTTGCTCGCTACCCGCATGTTTCTATTCATAGTTTCTGTGTTGGGCTAGCGAGCCAGCATAGCATTAAATTCAGAACATAATACCACTGTCACAGAGAAAATGATTTTGTAAAAGAAAATATGAAACGGTTACATCCAACACGTAACAGAGATTTTTTTTTATTTTTTATTTTACAAACTATGTACATTTATTTATAAACTTCCACTGGTTTTACATCTTTGGAGCACCATAAACATCAGGTAACCTCTCAATAGAAAATCTGTGTTGAGTTATATACATGATTGGTACACCAGGTATTTTTCTGATTCTCTTCTTCAAATCTTTATCATTGGTGGCAACAATGTAGCATTTAATTTCAGTAACTCTTTTTACAAAGCAGTCATCAGCATATGTATCTTTATGTATGCATGTTAACCGATGAAATCTGGAATCTTTAGCAATCTTGAGGGCAATTCTATACTTTCTGCCAAGCTTTTCTAACTCTGCCATAACACAATCAGTAATGTAAGGTATGCATTTAGCATAAAGGCAATCCATCATGCTGGTGATTATATCCAATTTATTCTTAATAGAGAAATTAATGAAATTTGTATCCAGGATAATGTGGAAGGGAGGCCTAAGTTGTGTGTTGTAGTTAAGATACATTGAAGAGGATGACTATGGCAAATATCGAATAGAAATATTTTCTGGGTTTGCCTTCTTTTTCTTTTTTCTTTATACGATCTTTTGCCTTCAATCGTGCATCTTTCAGGCTAAGTAATCTTTTAACTTGAGCAAATGTTTTAGTTCTTTTGTCTTTAGCCATGACGGGATAGATCTAAGTGTGATTTTCTTGATCTAGTCTAATGTTTTGTTCCTTCAATCCTACAGACTTCGAAATTATCTAAGAATACTAGCACAAAAGAGAGACTAATGTGTGACTTTTTAATTTTTTTTTTCTACTTTCTAGTACTTCATTTATAATGAAATCCACACAACCTACACCTAAAAATATTTCCTATTATAACGTATCACAGCTCACGATCTGTAAACGACAATCAACTGGCCCTTATTTAAGCCCGTATAAACCAACCGTAAATAATAAATAGTTCATAGCTTTAACCCTGGTTATAAATTATTCCCTTGTGATTTAAAAAAAAAACGTGTTATCTCCCTTGTATTTATTTAATAATGTAGTCGTTATATTAATGATTTTAAAAAAATCTTGTTGATTAAAACTGATATATTATTAAATTGTCATTACAAACAAACGTGTCTGGAAGTTCTGCAACATGACTTTATTATTAGTAGCTGAAAATGTATCAAATGAAAAAGAACAACACAAACACAAATAAGGAACAGTCAATCATATATTGTGAACAGAATTCAAGTTTTATATGAAATAAGCAAATAATTTACTGATAATACATATGAAAAAAACACAGCAACATGCAATTTGAGCAAAATTATTATTATTAAGAGACTTTAAAAAATAGTAAATGTATTACTGTGTTGTTCAAATTAATTCCAACGCCAAAGATAACTAAATTCTAAACTTTTCAGATTGTATGAAAAGGAGATACGGTGTAGACTGTGATCTAATTTGTAGCATAACATGCTACGACCAGGATTGTCGGTTCAACGGTGTTTGCAAAAAATGTGTTCAGGAGAGAACAGGGGATTTCTGTATGGACTGTAAGAAAACCTAACCTAGCCTAGCCTAGCCTAGCCTAGCCTAGCCTAACCTAGCCTAGCCTAGCCTAACCTAACCTAACCTAACCTAACCTAACCTAACCTAACCTAACCTAACCTAACCTAACCTAACCTAACCTAACCTAACCTAACCTAACCTAACCTAACCTAACCTAACCTAACCTAACCTAACCTAACCTAACCTAACCTAACCTAACCTAACCTAACCTAACCTAACCTAACCTAACCTAACCTAACCTAACCTAACCTAACCTAACCTAACCTAACCTAACCTAACCTAACCTAACCTAACCTAACCTAACCTAACCTAACCTAACATACCTATATATATATATATATATATATATATATATATATATATATATATATATATATATATATATACATATATATATATTAGGTCTGTCTGTATTACTATGTCTTAGTGTGTATTTTAGATACATTTATTATTGTTTATTTCATATAGCTATTCCACATTTTTCAACAAACCACACGGGCGATGGGTATCACGACGATCCCTCTCCAACTCCACAGAGACAGAGAATGCACTCTTTAAATCTGGGAGAAGTTATCATAATCTCTGTTCTGGTTCTTGCTGTCATAATAACTGTCTTTCTATCGTGTTATACAGACAGGTAAAATTATATTATGTACATTATCTATACTAAAGACAAATAATTGTACACATTTTAACCCTGAGAAGAATTTTATTTAAAAAAAAATTAACAAACACAAAATAGTATACGAAATTTACAATCCAAAGACAAAAAAAAACATAACACAATGTATTCAAGTTTCCCTTTCAAACCTGACAGTCTATGGGGCAAGTGAAGAAGAGTTCACTTGTTTCTGTGACCTAGGCATATGAGGCTATAGTGTGGTCAGCACTATGCCCAGTGGCCTTTTTACTCTCTCTAACGTGAGTTAGGTACCTACAGGGTTGGGTGGACTCAGGGACGGTCCACTGACTTGATCCCGGATTCGAACTCGATACTTATGTGTTGGCAGTCCAGCACCCTACCGCTGGACCACTCCGTCCCATAATAAAATGTATAAGATAAAGAAATGCACAACACTTAGACATAGAAGAAAAATATTTATATTTAACCATCAAAGATAAAGAATTACATAAAACATATATACATAGTAGCAATAACATATAAAACGAGACAAAGAAGTATACAATACGTATATATGCCTACCTAAAACAAAAAATGGTATAAAACGAACGTATCAAAGACAATTTTTTTTTATAAAATGTACATATCATACAGAAAAACGGAAGTAAAACTATCAAAGAAAAAGAAGTATTGAAAACTTAAATACCTAAGACAAAGATTTAGAAAAATGTACTTATATATATGACAAAGCATTATAAAAGACGTACATATCTAAGTCAAATATTTATATAAAACAAACACAAACATTACAAAGAAGTATATAGAACATTCGAAAACAAAGAAGTGCATAAAACGTATATGCATAGGAATAAAAATTCCCTTATTCTTTCACAAATATGTATAACCATCTATTAATGACTGTTATTAATTTATTGTTTTTCAGATACTGTCTTAAAAATAAAAATATAGGTCAGTCTACATACATTGATGAATAAATACATACAAATTCAAGTATTATACGTAACAAAACAATTGAACTTTTTTAATACCTTATAAATCACATAAAAAAGTAACGTGATGGATTGCAATGCCGCAAATTTATCAAAAGTTTAAAGAGTTTTATTATAGGAAACACTATTAGTTTTAGTCAAAGTGTGTCTTTGAGAAACAACATGCATGGAATTCTATATAATCTTTTACTAAATTTTTTAAATTCTAAAATTATATAAATATGCAGAGAAATATATTTTAGTTCAGCGTATTAATGCAAATTGTGTACGTGAATATTTAATAAACAAACATTGTTAATTGTTTTGATGCGTCTTGTTTATAAACCGTAACTGTTTCTTATTTCTTGAACAATTAAAATACTCTCCTCTATAGGACTACTCTGTACACGATAAAGAAAATATCTCATTTAAATGTATTAATTGATGTAGTGAGAACAAGTTCTAAAATTTATGTAGGCCTATATTTGTATGATTGTATTCTTTACATGAGATTTCCATAATATTATACAGTTTTTACATTGAAGCCATGTTATTAATCCAGAGATAATGAGAGAACTACGGTGATGGTTTTTACGTTTAATTTAATAGAGAAAAAAATAAACATAATCCTTTATGACGGTAAATCTCTATATAGATACATGTGTACACCATTTTAACTGCTAATTTATAGTCTGGGAAATCCCCATATCGCTGAATACTATTTACACAACATAAATGGGTTTCTTTCACTTATTTTTTCCTGTTGGCTAGGGGGTTTTCTTTTGAGAACGCACTTACTTAATTATGCCAGACCCCTGAAGGGACGCTTGCGAAAAGTAGATCTTTACACGATTTTTGAAAATACAAGAAGTACAAATGTTCCCAATAAAACAGTGACAATATTCCAGTTCATCATGCTAGAAGAATTCCTCAAAAGGGGTAGAATTCGTTCTAGACTGCCATTGTTTGGCATGGGTTTGATCTTCAGGATGTGACATACCAGCGTGTAGAGATCAACCGACTGTATCGGTGGCACGATGGCCCCAGATTTAAAAGATGGCCCGTTGGCCAGGAATATTGGCTTCATGTTCAGGATACCATTGTCGTACCCGTGGGAGCCTTTCATTGGTGATTGTTGAAGTAGTGTTAGGTTCTGAAAGTGGAGGAATACGTATGGTCAATGACCAAAGTCGAAACCCAAATGCAATTAAAAACTAGAATAGTTTTTGTGTATTAAACGAAAAAAAAACATAACTACAAAAACCATCGAGGAATAAAATGCATAACCACTATAAAGAAAAAAAAGATAAAAAAAAAATCAATCCTAGAAATCTATATAGGAATAAAAGTCAAACACGACTCCAAAATTAAAAATCGCGAGTTCGATTCCAGTCATTCCTAAATGAGATAACTCCAAAATCAGACAACCACTGCCTTGTTGTTTATTCTTGGCTCGACAAAGACTAAAGAAGGAAATCCAAAAGAATAAGCAAGCTGAGACTGGATTCAATGGCTCATATAGTGCATAACTAGCAAGAATACCTTCCAACACTAGATTTAAGAACAAGAAGAAGAGGTCGTCATCTGTTATTTATATACTAAATTAAATACTATTGAACGGTGGTCGTAGAAGAACACAATACTAAAACCAAATGGTTTTAATTTCTCGCCAAAACATTTTTCATCAGTTATTCTCAGGGGTCTCCAAACTACAGCCCGCGGAGATCATTTTGTCCACGGAAAAACGTTTGTTGGGGATGGCTGAGGAAATTTGCCCAGACAAAAATCAAAGACATGCCTGGAAGAAACTGGCCCCCTAACTGAAATTTGATAGTTAATGCGGCTCTCGGACTGAAAAGTTTGGAGACCCCTGTTCTAGACAAAGACAAAACCTCATTCGTTCATGTTTCTTACAAAACGCGTTGTAGACATCAAGATTTCTGAATAATAATTTGAAATACCCTGGAAGGTTACAACTATGCAGGGGCGTAGCGAGGGAAGGGCGGGGGGTGCGGACCGCACCGAGTGACACCATTTAGGGGGTGACACCAAGGCAAAAATAGCAAAATATACAGAGAAAAACTTGAGGGAGGGGGGTGCAAATCGAAAACTTGAGGGGGGGTGCAAATAGAAAGTTTGAGGGGGTGGGGGTGCAAATCGAAAACTTGAAAGTTTGTCCCCGGGAAGGGTCGCAACGCCTCTGGGGGGGGGGTGACACCATTAAGTGCCGCACCGGGTGACACCCGACCTCGCTACGCCACTGCAACTATGTAACCGAAACCTACATTAGTGATGGTCCAGCCTTCCTCAGCTATGGCAACCACTGGCATAACTCGCCTGTTGTTCTTGATGTGGTAGCGCTCAGGGATGTCCTCTTTCAACATGACCTGCAAGTGCTGAATGCCAGGCTGCTACAAGTTCAGCGTCTTTGCCAGGTTGGGGGAGCAAGTTAGCCACGGCCTCTTCGTCCGCAACACGTTGTAGAAGTGTTTCGTTTACATACTGGCTCAGGTCAATAACCTATAATAAAGTTTTAAGTTAAATATTGAATTGTATATTTGTGATACGGTTAATACCGGTTCAAACATTTGCTCATACTAAATCTAAGTTTTTCTATCACTCTTTTACACAGCCCCTAGATACGAAGGTTTTTGTCCGATTTTTTCTTCTTGTTTTTGAGATAACCAGTGTCGGCGCCAGGTTATTCAGCACCCTAGCCAAACTTTATTTAATGCGCCCCCCCGCAATTTTTCGTGCCCCCGTATTATCAGAGGCGTAGCGACCCTTCCCGGCGCCCGGGGATAAACTTTCTATTTGCACCCACCCCACCCCTCAAACTTTCGATTTGCACCCCCCTCCTCAAAATTTCGATTTGGTTTTCCAACCCATTTTGGCGCCCTCCACGGATAGCGCCCTAGGCGACCGCCCAGTTTGCCTTATAGGTAGCGCCGGCCCTGGAGATAACGGACATTTTCTTTTCTTCAGGTGACTACTAAAGGTTATCAATCCTGGTTCAAACCCCGTGACGTAATTTTATGGTACCAATTATACGTACTATTTTGACGTACATAAGAAAATAGGCTTAACGTTTTTGGAAATTCAACTGCAACATCATTAGTACCTGATTAAAAAGGTCCACTTTTGTCATGCCATGGTCGCTCGTTACAATTAGATCAATCTTGTCCTAAAATGTATGTTAGTTTTTATAATTCCATTGCTTTATACAGAGCTTTCTGATAATTATAATATTCAATAAGTAAATGTCACATCGTTAGGGAAACAAAGACAGCTGGGCATTGCGCTGGCCACACTATCCCTTCATATGCCGAGGTCAATGAATCATCTAGAGTTCATCTGCCCCATGTGTCTTGGGCAGGAACGGGATTAAGAAGAAGAAGAAATGTCACGGATAGTAGTGCACACGAAAACCTCAAGTTGGTCTATATCTGATTTCTAGCAGCTTTAATGTTAAACCTGACTAACTTCAGGAATGAAATTGATAGCACAAAGTGTTGACACACTGTCCCTTCAAACAAACAGTTACCAGATAGAACCATTATTTTAAAATATTGTTTTTAAAATTCTGGCGGGATAATTAAGTTGATATTTCAATTATAATTCTTCCAATTTAATTTGAGATCTTTGTAATTTAGTACAACTTAAAAGAATTACCTTAAGCCCAGCTTTATTTAATTCATCTATCAGTAATCCTAATAGTGTGTCCATCTTTTGGATGGCCGAAATAATTTCCTCGCTGTCCGGTCCGAAATAATGTCCAGCTAGATCGGGTTCCGGAAAATGCAAAAGTCCAAGATCAAAGTCTTTTTCTGACATCCAGGAGACGACGGTTGAAACGCGGTTCTCAAAAGTGGTTGAGTCGCTAAAAGGTCTCCATTCAGTGGGTCTCAAATTAAATATCTCCACGTCACCTCCAGGCCAGGAAAATACACCTGTTGATGAGGCAGGTTCCTTGGGAATAAACTTCATTTATTTTAAAAACAATATTTCAACATTATTTAAGTTAGATTGTACACATTAATATTAGTTCTGATTTAATAAGTAGGGCTGCTCTGATGGATAACTAGCTCATGGTCGGGAATTTATCAACAGCTTAGTATATTGCTGATCAAACTATTCTTTCATATGCCAGTATCAGATGAACTCGAATCGATCTTTCCAATGGAGAATCAGGTATCAAAGAGTAACATATTTAAAGTAACATATAACATATAAAGTAATATCACATTTATCTTTCAACATTATTCGATGAGTAAAACGTGGATAATTTAGAAATAAAACAGCTACTATTTTTTACAGGTTCTGTATCTACTAAGGCTTTTTATGTAGCATTACATAATAATTTTAAATAGACTTAGTGAAATTGTATTAGATTAAAATAATTTTGAATAGTCTGAGTGAAATATTTAAAATTGAGTTTTATGTTTCACAATATAAGAACGGTTAAACATTCGAAAAAACTAATCGGAAATTTTTTTTAGTTCGACTTTGCGCTTCGAATTTTCAATCTTAAATACTAATCTAATGCATCATATCGGATTTAATCTAGCCATGCTGCTTGTAATCTAGATATTTTTTCCCCTCCCCCCCCCCCAAGAGAAAGATACATGAAACAAATCTAGTAAAAAAAAATCTATTTATATCCAGGCTTTTTATCAGTGATTTAGATGGGTTATCCCCCATTTGAGGCGACTATTCCTGAAAAAGATAAACAAAGTGAAACATACCTGATTTAAGCCCAGCCTTACGGGCAGTGATCCAGATGGGTTCTCCCCCCTCCCACCAGAAGGGCTCTGTACTGGACATGTTAAATGTGGCATGAAGGTCAGGGTCATACATCTGGTTGCCGATTATACCATGGCTTTCCGGAAACAGACCTGATGCGATTATATGTGCCAGTTACTGCTTAATTAAAATCGTCGTCAAAAATGTATGTATTACATAAGTAAGGCCTGATATTGTGATATTATATTCTTCTTTTCGTAAAATGCATTAAGCTGCATGTTACTGCTGTTCATTGGAGGTCTTGTATCTTATGTTATTATTTATACATTCCTGAGATGAGCACACATAGGCAACTTGTTGAAAAGGGTGTATGACACACATCGTGAACCAGAGGAAAACAAACTACCTTCTGTTGTCATAAACGTGTGTGTCATTTGGCAAATATGGCATGAAGGGGTAAAGCTTGAACAAAAATGTTACGAAGTGACAAAGACAGCATTGTCCAGTATGATTTTATAGATATTATGGATAAATCAGCTAATAATATTTATTTAATAAAGTGTTGTAGTGTAGTTGGAAATAAAAAGTAATACAGTAAGTAATTATTATGAGGTAGATGGAAGAAACTTTGGAAATTTCGTCATATATCTGGACAACGGAATGCTGAGCATGTAGGATAGGCTACAACTGTAATTTTCATCTGTCTTAATATTATGGTAACTAGTTAACAAGAAATAGTTCATAAACCACTTCAAATGTGATGTGACTTAGTGGGCAAGGTGATTAAACTGGAAAAAGGTAGTTACAACTGTATAGCTTCGGTGTAGATGTTTGTGCATTATATTAGCATATATTAAGTTAGAGCCACCCACACCTGAACAAAAACACACAAACACACAAACATATATATATATATATATATATATATATATATATATATATATATATATATATATATATATATATATATGTGTGTGTGTGTGTGTGTGTATAGCCTATACTATTTAGCCTGTAATCTTTCCTTACTGAGTACTATTTATGCCTTAATAATTAATTAATGCCAGATAAGAACTGGTTATGTTTCACAAGCTACGAATAGAAACATAAACAACTACAGACTTACCCGTAGCCATGGTGTAGTGACAAGGAAACGTGTTTGTGACGAAACTGTTGTCCATGTACACCATGCTAACACCACCAGACCTCAAGCTGTCAAAGTTGGGAGTCTCTGTTTTGTTCAAATAATCGTGACGGAACCCGTCCATAGACACTAGCAGGACTTTGGTTCTCCCTTCTGTTGGCGGTAATATAGCTAGTGCTAAACTCACCGCCACAATAAAAGACATTTCAGGCTTTATTCCACTGATACTGATTGATAAATCTGTTTAAAGAAAAAAGAAATTATTAATATACATTATAATCAACGTTATTACGATTGCTAAGAATTAATATTCAACATAAGAACTATTAAAATATCCCAGCGCTATAATTTACCCTCTATCTCTCTCGCAGCTGAAACATCATCCAAACTTGCAGTCATTACAACAACAATGACATTCCAGCGGCTAATGTTTACAGATGTAATTTATCGTGTGCGATTTATCGTTAGAAAATGTCGGCCATTACATGGTGCGTGTTAATGTCAGTGAGGGATGTAATGGTGAGGGTGAGGGGGGGGGGGGGGAGTTGGTGCTGGGGCAATGTTCCAGACGACAGCCAGAGAGAAAGCAATCATTCACCCCCGCCACCCCCCCCCCCCCCCCCCCCCCCCTCATCGTAATTCGCACTTTACTCTCTCGGTCTCACATACCGGCCTTCAACAGAGCTAAAAGAACAAAAAAAAAATGCTTGTAAAAGTCATCCATTGACAATGCTCTCGAGCCCAGGGGGCAGATGGGGAGTTTACGAAGCAGGTCCACTGCCTTCTTCGTGCTAACTTAAACTTGCAATTTGTGAAGAAAATATGTAATTCAAGAAGGCAATATGTATAATTTAATAAGTGTGCGACCCATCCACTTCCCCAGAAATTTAAGCATGACGTCTCTCTCACAAAAGTTTTTAGTGAAGCTATAGCGGTTTATTAGCCGAGGTTACAGCCGAGGTTGCCTCAAGGACCGCCAAGTTCGAAATAAGAATTTAGCTTACAACTAAAAATAAAGATTACATTGGCAGCAAATACTATGTAAGCAATACTGTTATTGTGCTATATTATATTACATCAATGTAAAGAACGTTAATTTGCTACATGTTAATTTTTGTGTAAAGACATCTTGCTTTTTTGATATCCATTTATATTAAAAATTACAAACTATTGCAAGAAGGTGTTATATGACATTAACCACATCACATTATACCCAATATAACATGTTACATAACAGGTGCAACCAATAAACACGAGATGAGAAAAAATATGAGGAAAAATCAACTTTTATATTTGATCTGGAGCCAAAAAAACAAACAAAAAAGGTAATTCTAGTAGGATATAAAACAGTATTTAATTTCTTTCAGGAATCGGCATTCTCCCCGCCTTCCCCACTCAAAGTACATAAAACCGCATTCCCCACCCAACCCGTTAATTTAAAGTAACCCTCTCTTCCCCCCCCCCCCATTGATGATGGTAGATTTTCCTTTTATAGTGCGTTATAGTTTTAAAGTAATTCTTATCTCAAATCATCAAATTAAAACAATGAAAGCTCGAGATAATAAATTTATTGCCTAGTTAGAAAATCTAAATTGCATCCCATTTAAACATTTAAGTTAGAAATCATTAAAACATTTAAAGTTTTACTTACATTACAAGTCGCCTGTAAAACGCTGATCCTGCTATACGTTTAATAAATGACTTTGGTTTTAACAACGTGTTATCTTAAACCATGCAAATTTACAGCATGCTAAAAGGTCAACAAGTTGAACTATCCGCTTATCTTTCGACTCTTAAAGGTTAAAGCGACAGAGACAGAAACAAATGTATTCCCCACACTTACAACACAGGATACAAAGTATGAACACACACACATACACACAAACACACACATACGTACTTTGGTCTGAATACCCACAGCAAAAAAAGTCAGTTAGTGCTGGAAATATTATTGACACACTCCTACTTCTCTACATTTATATTAGCAAATATTTATGCCACACTTTATACTAGTATACTTAGTTTTATTTAACTTTAGTTTTATTAGATGGATTATCACCGTGCATTGCACAGAAGACAAACACAGACACACTGTCAGAGATATATACTGTATAACGTATGAACAACATACTTTTTTGGTAGTACTGTTGCGATCGCTTCCCTTTAATACAAATTGCAGGTTGTCGGCTACTTATAGAAACAACGGGAGATGGAAACTCGGGATATACACATATTTAAAGAATAAAATCTCGTAGGAAAAAAATAATTGCGCACCAAGTGAACGCGAAATAAAATGTGCATAATATTGCAGATTATTATTAGTACTTTATAAATTCAGATGCGTTTTTTTAAGACAAAAAATTAGACAAAAATTAGCACTTCCTTTAAATAAAAATAATTTAAAAATTAGATATTGCTTCTATTATTTTTAAACATTTAGTTTAGACAATAAATGAAATATTATTTATTTTTAATTTTTTTTAGTCAAAGAGAGGTAACCAAATATATTTTCTTTAAGAAAAATAGTATTATTGCAGTCATATCCTTAGACCATATACTATGTTAATGCTATTTTTTTAAATTTATTTTATTGTCAAATAGAAATGTATATTTTATTTTTTGTAGCAATACTGCAATGAGCACTTCCTTTAAATAAAAAGAATTTAAAAATTTGTTATCGCTTTTATTATTTTTTAGACTATGAAAAAAATAAATAAAATATTATTTTTTTAATTTTTTTTTTTACAGTCAAAGAGAGATAACCAAATATATTTTCTTTTAAAATATTATTATTGCAGTTATATCCCTTAGGCCACAAACCATGTTTCGTTTATGCTATTTTTTTAATGTCAAAGAGAAATAACCATGTTTATTTTATTTTTTGTAGTAATACTGCAATGAGCATTGCCTTTGAATAAAAATAATTTCAAAAATTAGATATCGCTATTCTTAATTTTTAACATTTAAACAATGAAAAAAGTAATTGAAATATTATTTATTTTTAATTTTTTTACAGTCAAAGAAAGATAATCAAATTTATTTTCTTTTAAAATAGTATTATTGCAGTTATATCCGTTAGACCACAAACCATGTTTAGTATATGCTATTATTTTTTTTTATTGTTAAAGAGAAATAACCATGTATATTTTTTTTGTAGTAATACGGCAATGAGCTCCTCCTTTAAATAATATTAATTTAAAAATTTGATATCGCTTCTCTTATTTTTTAACATTTAGACAGTGAAAAAAGTAATTGAAATATTATTTATTTTCAATTTTTTTACAGTCAAAGAGAGAAAACCAAATATATTTTCTTTTAAAATTGTATTATTGCAGTTATATCCCTTAGACCACAAACCATGTTTATGCTATTTTTTTTTTTTTGCAGTACTACTGCAAGGAGCACTTCCTTTAAATCAAAAGAATTTAGTAGTTGGATATCGCTTCTCTTATTTTTTAACATTTAGACAGTGAAAAAAGTAATTGAGATATTATTTATTTTTATTTTTTTTTTACAGTCAAAGAGAGATAACGAAATATATATATTTTTAAAAATAGTATTATTGCACTTATATCCCTTAGACCACAAACCATATTTAGTTTATGCTATTTTTTATTTTATTTTTTTTTTGTCAAAGAGAAATAACCATGTATATTTTATTTTTTGTAGTAATACGGCAATGAGCTCTTCCTTTAAATAATATTAATTAAAAAAAATGGATATCGCTTCTCTTATTCTTCAACATTTAGACAGTAAAAAAAGTAATTGAAATATTATTTATTTTCAATTTTTTTACAGTCAAAGAGAGATAACCAAATATATTTTCCTTTAAAATAGTATTATTGCAGTTATATCCCTTAGACCACAAACCATGTTTATGCTATTTTTTTATTTAATTTTTTTTATTTGTAATACTGCAATGAGCTCTTTCTTTAAATAATAATAATTTAAAAATTGGATAGCGCTTCTCTTATTTTTTAACATTTAGACAGTGAAAAAAGTAATTGAAATATTATTTATTTTCAAATTTTTTTACAGTCGAAGAGAGATAACCAAATATATTTTCCTTTAAAATAGTATTATTGCAGTTATATCCCTTAGACCACAAACCATGTTTCGTTTATGCTATTTTTTTAATGTCAAAGAGAAATAACCATGTTTTGGAAAAGTGGTTCCAAAAGTGGTTCCACTTTGTGTTGCCAGAAAGCATATTTTTGAACCAAAATTGAATATTTTAAAATGTTTGTGAATTAAGTACAAAGTCACTTCCGGTTTTACTAAAGATAAAAATATTTAAACACAAAATTACTAATAATATAATAGTAATTTACAAAACATTTTAATTTGGATTTGTATAGTCAGGGTGTTGTGGTGAAAGGGGATGTTATATTATTTAATATAAATAAACTACTAGGCTATATTCCATTGTAATAATAAGTAAAGCGTAATTAATATCAGCAGTTTAATATAGGCCTAATCAATCTAGATCGACCTCTGACTATGGGGTCATCTATTAACGATGTCACAACGATGCCAGACACCCCCCCCCCTTCCCCAAAAAAGTAAACCTAAGCCCCCTCCCCCCCGCTATTGCACCGATTTTCATAAAATATTTAGACCTATGGGATTTTCCAACGGTCAATGTAGGCCTATTGATTAATTGTTTTATAACAATTTATAAACCAACTTTTAATAATGCAAATAAAGGCTTAGATTCAGTTTCTTAACATGAGTGTTTGTTGAACATTGAAAAGTGTCATCTTACTTTCTGAACCCCCTCCCACCCTTGACACAAAGGTCCAAATCACCCCCACCACCTCAAAGTCTGATGGACGACCACTACAGCATTTTGCTATTATTTATAGGATATTCATTAATTAGTCATACAAACCCAATTACATTTGTTGCTGTGATGGTATCTCTGTCATTACAATTATTAAATAGTTTATCTTAACATTTCCCCTAAGCTCATTTGCTATAGCTGCCTATCCTTATAGAAAACATCTTTTCCTCAAATATCTGGAATGCATCTGATCAGCAAGTCTTTTTCTTTTGTAATATATAACATGTTCATAAACTTGCACGGCCAATAACAACACATTACCAGGAAACAGGCAGTGATTATAGTTTGGTGTATTTGTGGTTGATGGTTAGTTATCAGCCATGCTTCACTAAGCCTGGTCTACATTTATATGCTGGTATGGCTAGAATTGACAAAAACCCATATTCTTGATTCTTCCCTTATCATTAAGTTTTATATCTATGATATATATATGCAAATGTAAGGCTTAGAGTGGGACTACATATTTGTGAACACATTTGCTAAAGCAAAAGTTCTTGAGTTGAAATTTTAATCCTTTAGGTTTTCTCTGATTCAAATTCAAAGCAGCTTTAACCTT